TCCTGATGTGTTTCTCACCTATAACTGATGCTGGTACTTATTCCTGTTGTGTTGCTCACCTATAACTGATGCTGGTACTTATTCCTGTTGTGTTGCTCACCTATAACTGATGCTGGTACATATTCCTGTTGTGTTGCTCACTTATAACTGATGCTCAATTAATGTTATTTATTATCTTAAAAGGAAATGTCATTTTCCATCACACATTTTCATTCCACGCCACCTAGTTCCTGACAAAGAGCTGAATCAATAAACATTCAGAAGTATTAAGTAAATTGACCTGGAAAATTTAGCTGGTTACACATTCTGAATCTATCCTTTGATATTAGGATTGCAGATCTTACTGGTTGAAATTTAATCACTGTCCTTGATTATCTACAAGTTTACATTTATCAGCCTGTCTTGTTATTCCTTCTCTCTCCATATCTGTCTATCTTTCGTTACCGTTTATAATAATATTTCGTGTGTTTACAAGGAGTTCGAATGCTGGATGGAGATGTAACTGATGCTGTTGAAGCTCGATCATTGAGTTTAAATCCACAACATATAGACATCTACAGTGCCTCTTGGGGTCCTGATGATGACGGGAGAACTGTGGATGGGCCGGGAGAGCTTGCAACTAAAGCATTTATTCATGGAGTTGAAAAAGTAAGTATTTGATTGTCATAGGTAATCACTGATAGTAAAAATAACAACCTGAAATCAATAGAATAATAATATCTTGTAAATGAACAGATAAAAAGCTATAGGACTCCCCCTATATGTTGTTTGTGTATGTAATTTTCATCATATTAGTGTATAATATACATGTGTTTTTACAATCAGTATTTTTCTTCTGATAAATACTTAATTTTTCATATCTTAGTCCTTTGTCATTTTTTTGTTGAACTAATGTTACTCTATTGTTGAACTAATGCTATTCAATTGAATGTGTTGAATTAACACTGTTCAAGTGTTGAACTGACACTATTCTAGTTTTGAATTAGTGCTAATTCCAGCTTTGATCTAACACCGATTCCAGCATTGAAGTTAAATATTAAAATGCTTTCATCAGATCTGATATTCTGTGGTTCACCAAAAACATTTTTTTAAACTAGAAAAGGTATATTCAGCAAATTTTACTATTGTAAACTGGTTATATATATTGAGCAGACTTGTTTATGTTTGAGTAGAATTGTTTTTCACATTGTGGTTAATTATAAAGATTCACTGAATAGTTTGTATTCATCAGATTTGGTTAATTGTAGAAGAAATTCATTTGCTAGTAGAAATTTGTGTGAAATTTTACTTTATGTGTTCATAGAAAAAAATGCTTTTACCCGCATTTCATCTTTTTTCTTTTCTTTTTTTCAGGGTCGAAATGGGCTGGGTTCAATATTTGTTTGGGCCTCTGGGAATGGTGGAAGAAATAATGATAACTGTAACTGTGATGGCTATACTAACTCCATCTGGACTCTGTCCATCAGTAGTGCCACAGAGAATGGATTAGTTCCATGGTATAGTGAGGCCTGCTCTTCTACTTTAGCTGCGACGTACAGTAGTGGATCTGGAGGAGAAAGGCAAATCGTAAGAAATCTTTAAAATATCTGATTATTTGCAAGCTTAGTTCTGTTTGAGTAACATCCATTAACAAAAATAGTGATTCACAAAGAAATACTAAACCAACATGATCAATTTGAAACAAGGAAATGTAATTTTCATAAAACTTTGTACGTTAGTGCAGATAATTGTGTTCTTTCAGTCTCGGAGCTATTCAGTTGTCAGAATGTGTTGACAGAAATACAACTGCCTATTTTCACACACAACTTTGTACTGTGTGTGTGTGTGTGATAATGAGTTAGTAGGTTTTTAACATTATTACATCTATTTTATCAAACAGTTGATACATTTATAACCATCTGATACATACTTAAAC